ATGATGGTTGCATTACAAGGGAGTGCTCTAAGTTGTTATTCGTATTTATTCACAAGTTAAGTTTCCTTCCAGCCAAACCCGTTTTACATGTCAGGCTGTCCACATAGGGCAACGTTTCCCTGGCAGAACTGTCCTCAGCTATTCTCCTCAAGGTTTCCGTGAGGGTGATGTCAGCTGGACCACGGAGTTCCTCCTCTTCCCTGGGTCCCTTTGTTAGACTTTGGATGTTTTCAACCAATTTGAAATATTTATGTGCTTATAGAACATCGAAGCAACAGAAAAATAGCTTGTAGAATTGATGTTGCTTCACTGTGACAGCAGAAGGACTTAGATAGGATTTGTAAATGGTTGTATGGTTCCCTTATGGCATTAACCCTGACTGGGATAAATAGAAGTTGTGATGAACACAAGCTTCTGACTTTTTTTTTTGCTTTGTGGTCTATAAAGTTCAGGTCTCCGACTCTCTGACCCAACACCCTTCCTGAAGATGATTGGACAAGGTGAAGCAATGGCATCATCCAAGCAAGACACACCTGCGTACCAAGAGTTTAAATTCTTGGTGATTGGGAAGTGTGATGCTTAACCACAACACTGTATAACAGGCCAGTCCCGACCAACACTGATGAATAAAGGACGAGACACACTAGCTTGACGGAGGCTGGAGCAGGGAAAAGTTGCCAGTAGGGTTACTAGCTGGGGATTCTGGGAAGAATCTTGCTCTAGACCCTTGCTCTGTGTGGCTCAGGGAGGTTTGTTTTACTCATTAGTCTATTTGTTAATATTTATTGTTCATTAGAAGACAGGAGGGCTCGGCGCGCTCTGGTCCATGGGGGTCACGAAGAGTCGGACACGACTTAACAACTAAACAACAACATAGTTCATTAGTTTATCTTATTAAATGTATATCGGGCGTTTCCTTAAGGCATGCATGGCTTCTCCTTACAACCAACCCTGTGAAATAGGGGAGGCTGAAAGAGGAGGAATTAAAGAACCTTGTAATGAGGGTGAAAGAGGAGAGTGCAAAAAACGGTCTGAAACTCAACATCAAAAAAACTAAGATCATGGCCACTGGTCCCATCACCTCCTGGGAAATAGAAGGGGAAGATATGGAGGCAGTGACAGATTTTATTTTCCTGGGCTCCATGATCACTGCAGATGGAGACAGCAGCCACGAAATTAAAAGACGCCTGCTTCTTGGGAGGAAAGCGATGACAAATCTTGACAGCATCTTAAAAAGCAGAGACATCACCTTGCCAACAAAAGTCCGCATAGACAAATCTATGGTTTTTCCTGTCGTGATGTATAGAAGTGGGAGCTGGACCATAAAGAAAGCAGACCGCCAAAGAATTGATGCTTTTGAATTGTGGTGCTGGAGGAGGCTCTTGAGAGTCCCCTGGATGGCAAGGAGAATAAACCTATCCATTCTAAAGGAAATCAACCCTGAGTGATAACTGGAAGGACAAATCCTGAAGCTGAGGCTCCAATACTTTGGCCATCTCATGAGAAGAGAAGACTCCTTGGAAAAGACCTTGATATTGGGAAAGTGTGAAGGCAAGAGGAGAAGGGGACGACAGAGGATGAGATGGATGGACAGGATCATCGAAGCGACCAACATGAATTTGACCCAACTCCGGGAGGCGGTGGGAGACAGGAGGGCCTGGCGTGCTTTGGCCCATGGGGTCACAGAGAGTCGGACACGACTTAACGAGTAAACGAAAACGAAAGAGGATGAAGGAGTTTCATGGCCGAGTGGGGACTCGAACCCAGATCGCCCAAATCTCAGAGCCGGTCTTTGGCCCTTTCACAGGCGCTTAATAGGAGACATGATTTAATTTGCTTTGATGACCTGCCTTCATCAGCAAAGGGAGGGTATCAAAATGAAAACGACACAGGCTTCTGCAATGTAAACAGTGACTTTTATTGTCATTTCTTTGAACTGTACCCACAAAAGGTGCGCCACACACTTCCTTTGTTCACAAAACCAAACCCACTGGGTTGCTGATAGCGCTCGCTCGTTGTCGGGGTGCCGGAAGAGCCCTTTCATAGAAAGGAGCAGTCGCGTGCTTGTACCGTGGGCCAGAAAACAAACCAGCGGCAACAGGTCACCAGAGACACCCCGTCCCTCCCCGAAGACCTGCTAAAGAGTTTCCAGAAATGCAAAAAGTACAGAATATATATATGTGTGTGTTTCTTTTAAAATACAACCTCATATTGTACTACCTCCTTGAACATCTATGATACAAATGGCTTCTCTCTTTGGCTCTCCTTTCACCAAAAGAAAGACTTTGCACAAGTTACTTTTTTCGGGGGGGAAATGTTCCTAGGATCCCAGAGCGTCCAGCGCCGCGATCAGAGCATCTGGTGGTGGATTCTGGGAACGGCGTCCCCATCAAGTAACTTTTCCAATCTCTGCTCAAAATACACCCCCAAACGCGTTACCTGCCCACTTGCAAAGTAGGTGGAATCAAGACCAGCGGCCGCCTTGCTTGGCTCCTTCGAGATCTTAAGACTCTCTTGTCCCCCCTTGGCCACGCTCCAATCCCATTCCACCAGGCTCGCGCTGGGGGAGGACGGGCAGCCCGTTTGCTCACACAGAAAAAGTGGTGTCTTAATTTCCACAACAAATTAGCAAGTGAAGCCGATCCTTCTACTTTTTCCTCTCTCGCTTGCAGCCGGCTGAAGAGATTGCCTGAATGATGCAGCCAGGGAAGGAAAGAAGGGGGAAAAAAGACCCGGTCCATTTTGCTTGTGCCGTATTTCGTTGGTGCTGTCAAATTTTAATAGCCACATCACAGTTTGTGTGTGAACTGTCCCAGACCCACACAAGTGCCTGCTTCTCTACTGGCTTAATAGGCACTGCCATGCCGGCTCTATCTCACCAGGGCAAAGTACGATTCTTGCGCTGGGGCCTTCGGATGTCGGGACCTGAACCCAGCACCTGGGGAGCCCGGCAAAAACATGTGTTGAACCCCCGCTGCTAAGGACCCTTCCTTATGGCTGCCCTCCTCTAGTTTGGCCTTTGAAATGTGAAGCTATGCCCAGGACCCAAATGTCCAGTGAGGGCCTCTGGAAAGTGTATTTTTTGTTTGGTGAACTTATTGACATTCATCTTTGCGAATTCCCAAACAAACAGAGAAACACACTTGTCAAAGTACCCACGTTTCAACTTTAAAAAGATTAAAAAGCACACCTAATGTGTCTGCAAACATTGCTGACAGGAGGCATGTCTTTCTCGGTCTGCATGACGATGGAATTACAGAACACACCCACCAGTTCAGAAAATATTAAGTACAGGCACTTTGGCAACCGGCTTATGTTTTGCCATGGTGGTCATCCTTTGCACACCCACCCCCTTCCTTTCCTCTGTCCCTTTAGTCTCCTTTAAGAGCGGTGTGAGCAATGGAGGCCAATCCTTCTCCTTTTTTCCTCTCTTGCTTGCAGCCGGTAAAAGCAAACCTCTCCCAGAAGGTCCTGCTGGACCCTTCTATGGATCAAAATATTAATTTAAAATATTTTTACACCCTCTTTCTCCTTAAAAGGACCTGAGCCAGCTTACTATTTTATCCGATAAAATCGTATGTGGCGGTGGTGGGCACTTTGGACTGTCCTGATGTTTTTAGACACCTCCCTCCAACTTGCATATTCTTTTACTCCTCACCAGGCCGGGTAGGCACGATGGAACCTGAGATCACAACTTCAGAAAAGCCAAAGGTTCTCATCTGCAATGGCCAGAACTGGCACGTTCTCTTTGACAATTAAAGGCAAAAACGCAAGAGAACTGCTTATGTCAGTGGTGCATCAACCTTGGGTCCCCAGATGTTATTGGACTAAAACTCCCAGAAGCCTTCGCCACTAGCTGTGCTGGCAAGGATTTCTGGGAGCTGTAGTCCAAGAACATCTGGGGACCCAAGGTTGGTGGGAACCACCGGCCGACACCATGATGCCTGCTCAAAATTAAACCATGAAGCAGCCATAATTCATGGACCTCCAAGAAAAACCTCCATGCTTCTTAATAGCTGTGTGGCTGCCTTTGACGTCTCTTCATGCAATGAACCCTCTAAGGCAGTGTTCCCCAAACTTGGGCCTCCAGATGTTCTTGGACTGCAACTCCCAGAAGCCTTCACCACCACCTCCGCTGACCACAATTTCTGGGAGTTGAAGTCCAAGAACATCTGGGGGCCCAAGGTTGGGGGACCACTGCTCTAACATAACCAGGAGGTCTAGTCACAGGTCTTCCCAAAACAGACATCATTATCTACCTCAAACAAGGTCGCCTCCAGCTCTACGTTTAATACCAGCCTCTCATTTCATGGAAGATGCTGACTCGCTGGGAACACAACCTTGACCTGACACAGGCAGCTGCTGACTTCGGTGTGGGAAAACCGAAAACAACACCACATGCCTGAAGGGAATTCGGAACAGAGGAATTGGATTGGCATCGTAAGGCCTGGGAGGGCCGAAAGGCTGCCTCTGGTGAGCCAGGGTGTTACTCAGCTCACAACCTCGTGTCTGCAAGGACAGCGAGACAAAAGCTTGTGTAAACTCAGAATACCAGGGCAATTATGTAATACTGGGGGAGAACCGAGTCTAAGGAACTGGCTGCTTTGCTGAAATCCTCCTTTGCTCTCCAAAACAAAGCCCCCTGAGTGAAACGAACCGGTCTTCCCCTATCATCCACAGGGCCAGGCTCCCTCTGGGAGTAAGGCACCCTTCGGAAACACACCACGCAGCCCGAAGGCCACGGAGAGCAAGCAAGCACGCCTGGATTTTTGCAACAGATTGTTTTTAATCAAGAACGGCCTTCCATCCACAGAGATGGAGGATGAGACGTTCTTAATGGTACGGAAGCAAAAAGCTCAGGCAATGGGGAAGAAGGGATGATTCGGGAGTAATGCCATCCAAAGCTCAATGATGCCCATGGCCCGACCGGGGTGAAAAGGTTTGTTTCTAAATCTGGCCGGAGAAGAGGGTTGGGGCTGGCTCCCGGGAGGGTGGGGGTGGGGAAATCGGCGTTTGCAAGCGGCGAAGGCCCGCTCTGGACCGCGCGGAGGGCAGAGAGGTCCGTCCGGGCAGAGGGAACCGTCCGCACGAAGGAAAAGCACAGCTAAACACCGCGCAAAGACCACTCGTCAGCTGAAGTGCTCCGGGGTCCAAACCCGCAGCCCTGGGAGTGAGGCAAGTTTCAATGGGAAGGGTTGCAAACGCCTTCCGCCAGGGAAAGGATGCGGAGAAGGAAAGTACCCGCGGCGAAGCAGCCCCTTTCCTGCCCGCTGTGGCAGGAGGCAGCCTGTTCAAAACACACCCAAAAGCACGTGGCAACACAGGCGGCATTTTAATAGGACACCTTTTTTTTCCCTACTCTGTTCTTTTATACAGTCGTTCTCGGCCTGACAATAACACGGATCGGCCGGATAACCCATTTTGGAAAATCTCCAACTCCCTTCCAGAGGAAAAAAAAAAGGGGGGGGGAAACAACCTAAAGAATACATCTTTTTATAAAAAAATAGCCTTATGCTTCGAGCATATACATTACATACATAGATCTATTTAAGAAATTCTCCAGGTAGAAAAAGGTGGCGTTATCAAAATATGGCAATGCTATGGCTGTGAATACAAAAAGCTTTCGAAAATAATTCCCTCCGTCTGTGGATATTTTTTTTTTAAAAGGCGTTGTGCTGTCTGTCCTCTTGGCTGCAGGTGGCTCCACAAACCCCCTCCCCTCTGCCTTGGCAAAATGGCTTGAAGAAAACGTAGAAAGCAAAAAATTCTTGACAGGGGAGACCATTCTTCCCATTCAGAACAACAAAGCTGACACGTCTGCTCTCTTTCCTGTACCAAGTACTAGAGTAACCTTTGATGCAACCATTCCAGACGGTTGCATTCACACGGGAACCTTTTCCCATGTTTTCATGGGAGCTTAGAAAAGCTGGCTATCTAAAACACAAGTCGACTACCTAAATGGCCAGACAGCCAGGCCAAGAGGCCACCCCGGAAGGTCTATGAAGCAGAATATACATTCACCCTGGCATGTCCACCCGAGATCCGGGAACCACAACTCTTTTCAGCTCTCTGAAGCACGTACCTGTACAATCTTTTATTTCTTAGGAAAATATAAATATCTGCGCCTCCAAAATCTGTCAGGCATATGTTTGCCACATGCCCATGTTGGAGTCTGATCTGCACATAAGGAGCATTAAATGCGTGCAAGTAAAGGAATATAATGGAAAAAGCGCCACGGTGAAGAAGGAAGACAGGCAAAGTCATCCTTTAAACGCCCATGCCTCAGTCCTAATGCAGCAGAGGCTGAAAACTCTGAACTGCAGCTTGTCGTGCAGGCAAAAGAACTGTTCAAAACATAGGGGTGGTTCAGTTTTCCAACTTTTTTTTTGCAAACGGGTGTCTTCCAGATATGCTGGGCTATCGCTTCCAGAATCTCCCAGTCATGCAGAGCAGAGCAGAACGGGGGAATTCTGGGAGTGGAAGAAGTTAGCTGGGCTCTTCATATGCTAAGAGTACAAAATGGCGTTACAGGGAAGAACTCTGCAGCAGGACCTCATCTTATCCGGATAGTCCTGACACTTGATCTTCCCTCCATGACATTCCGGTGCCAGGAGAAACGGGCAGACGTGCGGGGCAAGACCACAGGGACGAGATGGGTGTCTAGGGCCTGAAAAAAAGAACCCATTCTAAGAAACCCTCTATTGCTTGGAGGAAAACAAGCAATGGGGAATTTTCCTACCGGGGGAGGGGGGTTTACAACAGATAGAGGAACAACAAACTTGAAAGCCACAGCACTGTCCTGTTCTGAATGCTGGAATCTTATCTCCTACCAGGAAAAAAAAAAGGAGTGGGGAGGAATAGCTGGAGATTATACGGAAGCACCAGGTTTTTTTTTAAGCTGTATTGTTTGGCCAGCGGGGCAGGAAGGAGATTAGCCTTAACAATATGGAAAACAAAAAAAAGAGAGGCATTTTACGTCTTCATGGGCAAAGTCAGAGTTTACAACTAAATATGTAACAGGAAAAGAAAGAAGGCATCTAATGGAAAGCATTTAAAAAACAAAAAACAAAAACAAAACAAACATGTCATGGAGTCTAGAAATTCAAACATACATTAGACATATATTCCTCTCTATAAACTTATATACGTATTTTTATATATTCTCTCTCTTTCTCTCCCTAACGTAAGGTACTTTGGTCAGCAAATCTTATTGCTACATTCATACAAGTTACTTGTTCTGAAGTTTCTTTCTTTCTTCTTTTTTTGCCCCATCAGAAATAAAAATTAAAAAAAAGCTTCCAGAAGCTTTCCAAATCCCATTTTCTGAACACCAGTTTTTGTGGGGTTCTTTTTCTTTGTAAACTTTCCAAAACACCAGACAGAAGCTTCCGAAGGGATTATAGCTTTTCTTTCTGTGCATGTGTGAGACCGGGAAAGAAAGAGCCGCCAGATGGATGGATAGGATCCCAGTCCACCCCACGTCTTCTCCAACACACGTAGAGTCCTTTTTACTTGCAACGGCTTCCATCTTGGTCTCACGTCATCCTTCCGGGATGTTTGCATTTCTTTGGCTTGACACAGTGCAGCGAAACATCCACAGCGACTTTCTCGTGTCTATACTGTACTCTGATGGTGGAAAAGTAAAAGTAGGAATTTATGGGACTCTCTGGCATTCGTAGATTGGAAGACTTCTCCGGATTTGTTTTTCCCCACAAGGGATATCATGAAGAAGCAAAATTAAACGAAGAAACACCGCCGTGCATTTTTCTTTTGCCAAAAGAAGACAGGAGACATGAAGAGGGAGCTACCTTCGAAAGAAGAGTCCCTGTCTCTGAAAAAACCAACCAATCTGAACCCGGATCAAATTCTGCCCTAGGGCAGAAACTCTGGTGCTGACGAATCCACCCTTGGGATGGACGTCGGTCAAAAGTGCAAGAGTTTTACAAGGCCATGATTTTTTTTTTTGCTTTAAACGGGGGCAGGGGGTGGAAGGGGGAAAAAAAGAGATATTTTAAGGGAATATTCCCCTATGGCACCAAAAAAAAAAACCAACAAAAAACAGTTCACGAAAACCGGGGTAGCTGGTCAGGTCATCTCTCCGGCACATCCGGAGAGGAAGGATCAGACCACAAACTCAGGGACGTCTTCGTGGGTCAGATCCAAAGAGAAGTACTTGCTGGCCCTTTTGACGGGAAACGTCTCCTGGATGTTGACGCACTGTTGGGCCAAGCAGCCGTGGCAGTAGAGGCCTTCCTCGGCCAGCCCGTGGCCGCATCCGAACGTATAGCTTTGGGCCGTCTCCTGGCACAGACTGGCCAGGCGCAAGAAGTCTTTTTGGTACAACCGGATGTCATCTAGGCTCAAACTGTGCCGGTCGGTCGAGGTCTTTGGCTTTCGGCAAGCAGTCTGTAGGAAAGAGGGGGAAAAAAAAGGCTTGAGATGCAAAATTCACTATGATGGGCTGGGAACATGATGTGTGCTTTTGGAGAGACTGAGGCTGCTCCTGGAATTTAGTGTCACTCAATGCACCCCAATTGGATCCGGGGAGATTTGCACCTTGGACTCGAAGTGATCTGTAGGTTTTTTTCCAAGCTTGCATGTTGGAAAACCAACATGAATACAACTTTCACTTATTTATTTAAATAAGTAAATACATCAATAAATATTTGTACAAATACGTAAATATTTCAATAAATATTTAAATATTTTAAAAATATTGGTTTTTTCCCCCCCTTGGGTCCCATAGGGGCTTTAAAGATGAAGAAAGGAGAGTTGAAAAAGAACAATTTTTATGTAATATGGGGCGAATTTTTGGAATATGTGTTAATAAGGGGGAAAGGGAAAGCTTCAAATCAAGAATCTATGCAGTTCTGGAGAGGAGGACAATAGAAGAAGAAGGAGAAGAAGAAGAAAAAGAAGAATATGGCAAGAGGTCCCGTATATGGTGGTGGGGAACACTGTTATTGTGTTTGAGTTTATATGTTTTTATGTATGATTTGTTTTTTGTTATAGTTATAGAAATAAAGAACAGGTAAAATAAGAAATTAAAAATATTTAAAAATATTTAAATACATGAGTAAATATTTCAATAAATAATTTAATAAATATTCCAACAAATATTTATTTAAATATGTCAAAAGTAAATATTTCAACAAATATTTACTTATGTATTTCGATATTTTTGCCTTCCTCCCCTCCTAAGTAAGGGCCAAGGGTGGCTTACATCATTAAAAAACAACAACACAAGATTAAAGATTATAATTTCAGTTTGTTTCGCTCTGAGACCAAGTCTCTTCCTACTGCTTTGATCTGAAATTCATATGTATAAAGATCAGTATTATTTTACTTTATTGTATATATACTGATAAATACTTACGGTGCAAAGTTGGTATATTAATCCTATTTTAATATCGCAATGATCTGTGGATTGCACAGAGCTGGTCTGTCTGTGTCTGGTCCCTAGTATGTCCTACACAACGTACGGCTTGTGCATTAGAAAAATCCTGCATTGGCAAGAGGTTGCTTGAGAGAACGGTTGGTGGTTAATCTTGCCAGCTCTAGAATCCTATTAACCTCTGAGAGCTTTACTATCTTATAATTTCATGTCTGATAAGAGAAACGGTGTGGCATAGCAGCTGGAGCACTAGACTAGGATTATGCATTTATTTAAATTATTTATATGCCACTTTTCTCCCCATAGGGGACCCAAGACAGCTCACAACAGGTAAAATAATTAATTAAAAACATATGGACATCAGAAGAGCCCTGTTGGATCAGGCCAAGGGCCCCTCTAGTCCAGCTCCTTGTATCTCACTGTGGCCCCACCAGATGCCTCTGGGAGCACATGAGAGACCACGAGAGACCTGTCTCCTGATTCCCCTCCCCTGCATCTGGCCTTTGGAGGGACCTTCCTTTTAAACCTGGACGTTCTACATCCCCCATCATGGCTAGTCACCTGCGATGGGGCTTTTCCTCCAGAAATCTGTCCAGTTCCCTTTTGAAAGACACCTAGATACCAGATGCCATCACCACATCCTGTGACAAGGTGTTCCACAGATCCACTATATAAATTTCACCTGCATGCAGCCATGCATTCTATAGACACTAACTCTAAGAAGATTTTCTCCTGGATATAGCGGTCAATCTATATTAACAGAGATCTCTCACTTTTTACTACTTTCTCTTTTTCATGCATTTACATCTAAAGATTTGATAAAACAATGTAAAAGAAAGAAAGAACAATATGGATGCCGTTATGGATAAGCTTTTAATTTTGAGGAGCAAGACCACTGGTTCCCAAACATTTTGGACTCATGACCATGGGGCCATGGCTTCTCTTGCTGGGAGGGGCCCTCCGGGGGTCTCACAGCCACCAGGGGCAGGATCTTGACACCCCTCCCCAGCCATCCCTGGAAGGGATCAGCTTCTTGACATTCGTATGCAACACATCCAAAGCCTCCTTGATTCTTTGGGACTACCCCAAGTCAGGAATGAGGTTTGGACACACAAGGAATGTGACAGATCATCTCCCCCCCACTTATCACAACAATACACCCATAACAAAAAAAAACACACCCTGATCACCATCATCACCCAATCTCCAGAAAAGGACAAAAAGCTGGTCCCACAGCTATAAATAACTATCCCACACACTGCACCAGAGCACAGACAGAGTTCTGACTCCTGTCCTCTGAAGATGCCGGCCACAGAGACCGGCGAAACGTTAGGAAGAAAAACCTTCGGAACACGGCCGAACAGCCCAAAAACAAACCTACAACCACCAAACGTTCCTGATTGCTTATAAGCAATCATCCAATGTGTCTGCTCTGTTCTCACTCGCTCGGTTTTGGCAACTGGGAATCGAAAAACACAGGCTGGGAGAAGGGGCGCATGGATGAAATTCTTAGAGAGTCATCACAGAGGTGAAACCACGGGAGGTGGGGTGACTCTCCTGGCGCCCCCACGCAGCCACCGATTTCTGTCCCAGATCCTGCTCTCTCTGTTCCTGGCGCTAACTTCCAAAACACACCCACCATTCCTGAAGCCCCATTGGAAGGAGGCACCCACCTGTGGTAATGAATCGATGCTCTGGCCACGGAGCTTGACCACCGTCTCCGAGGAGCTGGAAGTAGACGAACTGATTTCCTTGACGACCAAGCCTGGGGCAGGGGCCAGAAATGGAAAGGGGGGCAGGCAGGGGTGAAGGAAGACAACGGGATCCATCGTTAGCCAAGACCAGTTTATCATGCAGGGTTGAGAAGGCCTGATGTCAGGAGCCTTGTGGGGCAAGGGTTGAATTGCAGTACTGCAGCTCAAACTTTGCTCACCACCAGGGTTCAATCCCAAATAGCCAGCTCAAGGTTCAATCATCCTTCCGTCCTTCCGAGGTCATTGCGCTGAGTACCCAGCTTGCTGGGGGGTAGAGGCAATGTGCAGTCTGCGTAATTAAACTACAAACTACCCAGAGAATGCTTTTAAGTGCTATGGGTCAGTATATAAGTAGCCTACGTTGCTTTTACTTCTCTCCTCAGTGAGTTTCTTTTTTAACTGTCGATGTGAGCATCGACCACCAGAGCCTGGATTCACGCATCCCTTGATTTAGGAAGGCCACATTTATGCTCACTCCCAAGATACCCCCCCACTCCCCCACAAATTCTCTTCTGCCTTTCAAAAATAAATCGGGAAATCTCCCTTTGTGCCCTCTAATCAAAATACAGTCGTGCCCCGCTTAACGATGAATCAGCTTCATGACGATGTTTTTGCGATCGCAATTGCGATGACAAAACAATGTTTTAAATGGGTTTTTTTCACTTCGTGAAGATCGGTTCCCTGCTTCGGGAACCGATTCTTTGCATTATGACGATCAAATCAGCTGATTATCGGGTTTTCAAAATGGCCGCCAGCTGCTCAAAATGGCTCCCCGCTGTTTTCTAAGACGGATTCCTCGCTTTACAGGCACCGAAAATGCCCACCGTATGGAGGATCTTCGCTGGATGAGCAGGTATTCAGCCCATTGGAACGCATTGAACGGCTTTCAGTGCGTTTCAGTGGGCTTTTTTATTTCGCTTGACGATGCTTTCGCTCTACAGCAATTTCGCTGGAACGAATTAAGATCGTCAAGCGAGGCACCACTGTATTGAAGTTGGCTTAAATGTAGACTTGTGAAACTCACCTGAATCTTAAATTTGTGTGTGTGTGTGTGTGGGGAATGGAATCAGCTCCAGCTATGATACTGGAGCATTCCATATTCTGCAAAAGAGAGATTCAGGGACCAGGTCTTGAGCGGCCTCTAAGAAAGATGGCAGCCACCATCTCCACCCCTTTTAAGTGTTTGCAGTGGGCAGAAAGCACATCCTCCTTTGCTTTATCTTCTCTTCTCCAGCCTTTGCACCAGAAGGCTTCAGATCTTCGGCATTGTTAGATCAAATCTCCGACGGGAGCTCTGAGCACGTTAAACCCCGCTGGGAATGACGGGGGGGGGAATCCAGCGGGCTCAAAGACAGCTTTGTGCACAGACCGAGGAGTGCATTATTGCCAGCCCTGCTTTACAAGGATCTCGTCTCTCTTCCAAGAACAGGGAGTACGAGGATCTTCATTAGAATGACCTGTAAGGAACTTCTGCAGGGTTTTTATTTTTGATTGATTTTTCCCCCCTTTGGGAGCCTTAAGGAGGAATTTGCTATTAGGGCAGATGTGTGTTTATGGACTACATCTCCCAGAATGCCCCAGGCAGCTATGTTTTTCCTGGGGAATTCTGGGAACTCTGCTCCAAAAAACCACCCATCTGCTCATCGGCACTGAACCCGCTCGCAACACCCGCCCTTGCCAGCACAGCGAACATTGAAACCAGCACCTCAGAACTGTGGGATAGCTCGGGGGGTTGAGATCTCTGGCTGCGAAGCCAAAAGGTGGGAGTTCGATTCCCTCACGATGCCTCCTTGAAAGGGGCTGGACATGATGATCCCTTTCAGTTCTGCAGCATTAAGATGATGATGATGATGTTGCGAGAAGATGGGAACTGCAGTTCATCCATATTCTCTGGAGGGCCACCCGTTTCCCACCCTTGCTATACAGGTGTGTTTTTGGACAGTACTGCTGAATTTTTTTTAACTGAATCAATACAATTTTGCTTTTCTTTGTCTCTTGCACGTGGCGAGCTCAGGGATCTTACCTGAGTGTCCGTTAAACTTCCTGGCCATCAACATGTCTTCTGTAATGTAAATGCACACGTCAGGACTAACATCCTCGTCCAGAGATGTTTCGCTGGATGGCTCTAAATCTCTGGGATCATCCACCAGCATCTCTATTTCTGCATCAGAGAGAGGGAGGGAGGAAGGGAAGGGCGTTACGACATGGGAGAGGGAAACTGGGGGGTTACTGCCCTGGAAGACGTCAACAGGGACCTGGCAAATAAAGTCAGTTTCATTCCCCTGGCTTTCTTCAAGGCTAACGGCAAAACATGAACCTCCATCTCTGGACAGCTTTTAAAACAATGAAAAGCAGCTGTCGGGAGGCTGTGATTTAAAGGAGGGAAGTGACAGGAAGAGGAATCGCTGAGTTCCTTTGCTTGCAAGTTCCATCAATGGTTCCCTGCTTCCGCCCCCNCCCCCCGGTCCTCTGGCTTTCTCAGATGAACGAGAGGATGAGAATCACCAAACAACTGAGCTGAAAGTGGCCTGCAAGGCTATCAAGTCCAATGCTCTGCTCAGGACAGGAACTCTAAATCCAAGCAGATCTAACAGGCCGTTGTCCCGTTTCCCCTTGAACGGCTCCAGTACTGTAGCGCTCACTACTTCCTGAGGTCGTGGCTTCCACTGTTGTACTGCTCAAACAGTTAAGAAGTTTTTCTTGATATTCAGCCTAAATCTGGCTTCCTGTCGCTTGAGCCCATTATACATACCCTGCACTCTGGGATGGTCGAGAACAGATCCTGCCCCTCATCGGTATGACTACCCATCAAGTATTTGAAAAGTGTCACCTTCCTCTGAACTTGTTCCAATTTGTCGGCATCCTTATTGAAGTGTGGTGTCCAGAATGGGACACAATACTCCAGATGAGGCCTAACCAGTGCTGAATAGAGGGGGACCAGCACCTCACAGGATTTAGACACTATACTTCCATATTTTGCAACCACCTCACACACTGTTGGCTCAATATTCACCTTTTGATCAACAACCCCAAAATCCTTCATGCTTGTAGTATTGCTAAGCCAGGTATCCCTCATCTTGTGACTGTGTGTTTGCTTCATCCCACCCCCCCACAGATGCAGTACTTTGCATTTATCCCTATCAAGTTTCATTCTGTTGTTTCCAGCACAGAACTCAAGTCAATCTAGATCGTGTCGTCTATCAACAGCCTCCCCCTCCTCTGATTTTCCTAGCCCAATGACAGAATGCGGCCCACCTCCTCTTAATCCCCCACAGCACCATCTAAACTGAGGAGGGGGCTTCTTTCAGCCATAGGCAGTGGGGAGAGATAAAAAACGACCAGCTTCTTTAGGGCAAAACAGTCACTAAGTCTTGGGAAACCCATTTCAGCTGCTGGGAAGAATACCTTGAATCTCTGGACACCAGTTGAAACAATGAAGGGCTGCTGCTGGGGGAGGCAGAACCCTACATTCAGGTGACTGGAGATGGCTCGAGGATCCCACAATTCCCCACTTCTTGTCTCAAACTACCCATAACTGGAGAGTTCTTCTCAGATAAAGAATATTCCTTCCTAGCTATCCACAATAACTCTTCTTTAGAGGGAAGAGGTTGGGACTTAAACCCTGGATGGCCGTCCAAGCCTTCCCTTCGGCAGCTAAGGACCCAAAAGGCGGAGACCCATCTCCGTCTGCTGGACTTACCATCCTCTTGGGAGGAGTCCTCTTCGCCCAAACGCTCCTTCTCGCTGCTCTCGACGCCGGAGGTGTGGGAACTGCCGTGGCTGGTCATGGAGCTGCAGGCCCTCAGCTTGCGATGCACGGCGGCCACCAGGAAGTCCTCCTCGGCCCCCCGGTCCCTCGCCTTGGGGTCCGTCTCGATCCCGGACGTGTGGGAGCTGCTGTGGCTCGCTGTGGAGTGGCGAGAGAGGCGTTTGTGCTTCAGGCTGCCCGAGCTGCTCCCGCTGGCTCGGGAACGCTTCTCCAGCTGGTCCATATCGAGGTCCAGGGCGTCACTGATGTAGGACTCCCGGTACTGCTTTTTCTCTAGAAGGCAAAGCCAGGAAGGTGGAGACAAGAGGACATTACCAATAAGCTCCCGGGTCTCTGTAATGAAATACAATGGACCTCCTGCTTTGGTGAAACTCAGGCCGAAACAATTCTTAGGGCAACCCACTACGGAACGATATCCCTCCCTTGGAACTCAGGAGGATGTTTGCAACTCTCCGAGTATCAGAGTCTGGAAAGGACGGAGAGCAATGTGCAGTTAAGGGACATCTGATGTATGGTGACCCTAATAGCATTTTCGAAGTAGAGTGGTGCCTTGGCTTATGACCATAATCCGTTCCAGAAGATGGACGTAACCCGAAATGGCCGTAAATTGAAGCACCATTTCCCATAGGAATGTATTGAAACACAATTAATCTGTTCTGTCCGAAGGAAGAAAAAATCACCCCTCAAAAAAATTCACTGCAAGACTCACTGGAAACACGATTAATCCCTTCCGGCTGAGGGGCAGGGGGAAGATAATATATGACCAAGTTGAGATACCACTGTATGTGAGATATTGAAGGACTGGTTTTAACCACTAAGCCTCATGGCACAGAGGTTAAACTGCAGCAATGCCGTGAAGATTCTACTCATGGCTCAAGGCCCAACCCAACGGGCTCGGGTAGCCAACCTGAGGTTGACTCAGCCTTCCAGCCAAACCCCCCAAGACCCATCAGAAATGGGAAAAAACATTCCAAAAAAAGCAACCAAACCCCCCAAGACCCATCGGAAATGGGGGGGGGAAGCCAAAATATAACCAAGTTGAGACACCACTGTATGTGAGATACTGAAGAACTGGTTTTAACCACTAAGCCTCATGGCACAGAGGTTAAACTGCAGCATTGCCGTGAAGATTCTACTCATGACCCGAGGCCCAACCCAACGAAACATCCAAGTCTTTAATAGGTTCTTAAATCCTTCTGAGGTCTGTAAATTAAGCACCCAGCTTTTGGGGGGGGGGCATGTGTAGTCTGCATAATTAAAACTGTAAACCACCCCGAGAGCTTTAAGCATGATGGGGTAGTGTATATAAGCAGCACACTTTGCTTTTACCTCACCGAGGTTTCGTGGACAAGTGGGGGTTCAATCCAGACCCCCAGAGCCTCAGATCCTTATTCTAACCACTGTACCACACTCTCTGACACAGACCAGAACACCTCAAATGCCCCAGACAGCAGGGGTCCGATGGGAAGGTTAGTTCCTTGTATCTTTTTCCTTTCGGGAGAAAAGGGTTTTTTCTTTTGCAAAACGAACATGCGGAACCAATGCATGCTGGCATTTGTTTTAGCATTCTGCTGGAGAGAGGCATTTGGAAGGTGAGATTCAAGACAGACAGACAGATGGGACAACTGATTTCTGGACTACAATGCCTACAGTTTCCGAGGCATGGCCTGCGAAGTGTTCTGGCAGTTGTACCCTGTATCCCTCTCTCAAAAGTAACTTTTCCACGTTCGGGTAAATCAATATCCCCTTTAAAACAGTAGCAAAAGGGAGTTCTCCTCTCTGTGCCCAATCATCCTCTCTCTTGACCTTCCTCACAACCGCAGATGGCCAAGGGTGCAGAGGGCACATCATCTATATACGAAACAATGTGGACTAGTCCCTTTGCCGGGCTGATCGGTTGCTGAAGGGAGCAAAGAGGCAGGAGAACACCAGACCAGAACAGAAAGAAGCCCCCCCACACCCCAGGTTTGGCCACTACCTTCGTTCTCCTCCAGCTTCCGGATCTGTCGCAGGACGGGCTGGAGGTTCATGTAGAGGCGGTGGCTGTTGCTCAGAAGCCGGAGAAGATGACAGGAGCGCGTGGGGCAGCCCGTGTAATAGGTGAGCTTGCGCGCCGAAGGCAGACCGTCAGGCAGGATCTCAAACCGTTTGCCCTGTGAAGGCGAAAACCATGCAGGAGCCGGCGGTGGCACACTGAGAACTCAGCTAGAGAATCCGTACAGCTTCTAGAAGCCTTCTTGATGGGTCACCCCTTACCTTCCTCATCCTTCATCCTCACTTTTCCTGCCTAACAGAGATCTGCAGCAGCTTTGCCTGCTGTTTCATTCATTTATTTTACAGTAGAACCCTGTATCCGCAAGGCCTCGGTTCCAAGCTCGCACCCACCCAAGTACGCAGAAAAACACAGATTACCATATTTTTCCATGTGTAAGACACACACCCCTTTTCTAATCCAAAATTAAGAAGTCAAAGTGGGGCTTAGCAAGTGTAGGGGGAAAGGAATCAAAGCGCTGCAGGATCGCTTTAATCCCTGCTTTCCCCTCCACTTGTTTTTTGTTCTCTCCTCAGCTTCTGTGTATAAGACGACCCTCAATTTTTAGTCTAAAGATTTTAGACAAAAGCATAGTCTTATACACGGGAAAATATGGTATATTTTAATAGCAAAGGCTATAAACAGTCTTATACATGGGAAAATATGGTATATTTTAATAGCAACGGCTACAAATAGTATGGTCTCTCTCTCCTTTTAGTGGCATAGTTGTGGTAACTTCACCTTTAGAAATATATATTTCTAGGATCTTTCCTTTTAATATTTTCCATGGATAAATGAATCAGCAGTCCCCGTGGATAAAGAGCTCCTTCTGTAGCTACTACTTTAAAATATCTTTCCCCTGACAAGGACCCAAGGCGGCTGACAGTACAGCGGTGCCTCGCATAATGAGCACACTGTTTAACGACGAATCCGCATAGCGATCTATTTTTTGTGATCGCTAATGCGATCGCATTGCGATGTTTAGATAGGGAAAACATCGCATTGCGATGATCGGTAAGCGTTTCGCTTACCGATCTTCGCATTGTGATGTTTTTAGAACATCTGATCGGCGGTTCCAAAATGGCCGCCGGGTAACCAGAATGGCCACCACAAGCATTTTCGCGCGCTGCCCTCGCTTACTAAGGCGGCGAAAATGGCGGCGCTATGGAGGATCTTCGCTCAACTGTGAGTTTTCGCCCCATAGGAACGCATTAAACGGAGTTTAATGCGTTCCTATGGGGTTTTCCTATCCGTATAGTGATGTTTCCAGATAGCGACGATTAATCCGGAACAAATTAACGTCGCTATGCAGGGCACCACTGTATTAAAAAGCCAATAATGTTAAAAGCTAAGCACAATAAATTATTACGGCACTAAAAAGGAATTAAACAAATATGGACTCCTCTGTGGCTGACATGCTGCTCTGACCCCCTTAAAGGAAGAGGACAGCAAGCTATATATACACTCAGTCCATATGCCAGTGTGATAGGAAGTCTGCCCTGTGGGTATTGGTCTGCCACCACTGGCTCCCATTCTGGAGTGGGTGTGGAAAGAAAGCAACAACAACAACAACAACAACAACAACAACAACAACAACAATAATAATAATAATACAGTGGTGCCTCGCATAGCGAGGTTAATCCGTTCCGGATTAACCTTCGCTATGTGAAAACTTTGTTAAACGGAAAGCAAAAAGCCATTGGAACGCATTAAACTTAGTTTAATGCGTTCCAATGGCTTCCGTACTCACCGTTCAGCGAAGTTCCTCCATACCGCTGCCATTTTCGCACCCTTGGTAAGCAGGTGCTGTCACCTTGCACTGAGCCAAATTCATCCTCAGAACCTTGGTCAATCTGGGGGTCTTTCACTTCACTCATTTCGGCCATCTGGCTTCGAGTCAAGGGCACAATCCCCCCTCAGAACAGGCTGCTTTAAAAAGTGAGCGAAAATTGCTAATAAAGTCTAAACTATACAATACTTAAACAAAAACAAACAGCTCACCCCAATGGCCCGCCCCGCCCTGCCACTGTGGCAGGCGCAAAACCACACCACTGTTTCTCGCCTCTCTCGCCCTTAAGTAAATTAAAGAAAGCAATAATAAATCAAAAGATCCTTAAACAGGATTCTAAACTAAACGATACAACCCGGTGTCGTGAGTTCAGCCGAAGATCTGGAACTTCAGGGGTTAACTGCAGTTGAGGAGAATACTGAGCATCATCATCATCATCATCATCCACTCAGCTCCATGGCACAAGAAATCCCTGCAGGCACAGGGTGCAAACTCAGACAGTGTCCGCCCTGTCAATCTGCTGGGGGTTTTATTGGTCTCACCCGCAGGGAGCCATGTTTGGTTTTTAAATACTGGAGAAGGTTAACAAGCAGTCTCTAGAAAGCCGTCCAGCTCCTGCTCCTCAAACCCAGAAACTGGATCCAGAGCTGACCAAGTTAGGCACTTGGGATGCTAGGTAAAGGTAAAGGTTCCCCTTGACATTGAGTCCAGTCATGTTCGACTCTAGGGGGCAGTGCTCATCCCTGTTTCCAAGCCGTAGAGCCAGCGTTTGTCCAAAGACAGTTTCCGTTGTCATGTGGCCAGCGCGGCTATACACGGAACGCCGTTTTACCTTCCCACCGAGGTGGTACCTATTTATCTACTCATATTCGCATGGTTTCGAACTGCTAGGTTGGCGAGGAGCTGGGACAAAGCGACGGGAGCTCACTCCGTTGCGTGGATTCGATCTTACAACAGCTGGTCTTCTGACCCTGCAGTACAGAGGCTTCTGCGGTTCAGCCCACAGCGCCACCACATCCCCCTACATCAAATCAGATCCTTTTGCGCAGGGACAAGCAGCGAATGGGTCTCGGGAATTCACACAGAAGTCTTTGCTACCTGGAGAGACCTCCTACACCCCAGGGAGGTTGCCCACCTGTCCATAAACCAGCTCCGGCCCCGGCTAAGCTTCCGAAACCAACTGAGCCCTTCTGGATGACAGCTTAGGAAGCTGCCTGTTGAGGATGAAGAGGTCAAGTTGCACCTGATCAAGAAGACCTCTAGACCTTCTGCCTACCATGTGCAAGTCTTCAAGGCTCGGCTGCTGTTTCCTGGCTAGGTTGCCAAGAAAAGACTGAGAGGGCCAAGTTTCCACCGGAGGACTGGGATGGTGGGAGCTGAGTGCTGATCCTGTCCTACCACATTTTACTGTCATCCCCCGGTTCTCTTCCCCCCCTTTTCCACGGCACTTCAACTTGTCCTGCAAAAATGTCATGGTTCCAGAGCCCGAGTCACTGACCTTGCCTGAGTCAATCAGACAGCAGTAGCTTACAGGCAACTTTTAAGAATCGTCCACTGACGTTCTGTCTTAAGCGCTGCGGCAGTTTTGTGCTGGAGATTTTTTGGGGAGGAACCGCACAGCAAGACAGAGCTGACAGCTTCCTTACTTACCACAAACACAAGCTTTCCAACGTTCGTCCAAGGGAAGTCATAAAGCAACTGCTTTTCGCTGTTTAGATTCTGAGAAGGGAAAACAAATCTTCAAGTCTGCTTTATTTCATTTTAACGTACTTATTCAAAATATTCTTACCCCAAAATATCCTTTCTCCTTAAAAAGGACCCAAGGCAGTTTACACCATTAAAAAAAAGACAATATTTAAGAGCTAAAAACAGTAACTATAGAAATACTTTTTAAACAGAGTAGACTTGTGTCTAGATGGGTGGGGTATAAATTTAATAAATAATTAAATAATTAAACAGTAAGCAAATATTGTATTGAAAACATATTGATTTTACTTGCATTATGTTTTTTATTCTGATTTTCATATGACAGTATTTGTTTATGGCTCCAAGTGTTAACCGTCCAGTACTAATTGGACGGTATGTAAGCTTATGTATGAAATTGTAAACCGCCCAGAGTAAATGCTTCAGCACTCATGGAGAGCAGTACGCAAATTTTAATACTACTCCTACTAAAGTCCTGCAAATTAAATGCAGAAAATACTAGATTTTGTATAGTACTCAGCATTTCTGAAGCATACTGCCTCATCCATGCCTGGGGACGAAGTGGCCGACCATGATGGAAAACGCTGATAAACCGACCTGAAAGATCTGGATGCCTCTTGTGGTAAGCCCGAGTGTCAGGGAGGCCTCGATTTCCTTCTTGTCCTAAAGGGAAAAGATATTCAGTGACATTTTCCCACGTTTCTAATGCTTTCTACCCATAACCTCTGCCCCATCTGGATTCCCCTTTGGCCCAGCCGGGTGGGAAAAAGCAACCTTTCAGGCCGAAAGAGCAAACAGGAAAAGAACGGAAGAAATGGGAGAACAACGTTGGGGTCTTTTTGGCAGCTGGGGGGGGGAAATGCTAGCTGGCCCTCAACAAGCCCTTTGTAAGACACGTGAAATATGAAAATATGCATGGTGTCTCCTTAAAACAGCTTATCTATTTATTTAAAATACTGTTATCATGCCTTTCTCCTGAAAAAGGACCAAAGGCTATTTTCGTCATGCAAAGACGAAACAGTAGACCCGCTCTATATTTCCATGGTCTGAAAAATATTAAAAGAAAAATCATAGAAAAATGCATTTCTGAAGTTGAAGTTAATAGAACTGGCCACTAGAGGGAGCAAGAGATCATGCTGTGTTTAAGGTTTGCTGTTAAAATAGTGTTCGCTATAATCTGTGTTTTTGAGCATCTGCTGGGGGAACCGATCCCCTGAGAATATGGGGTTTGTGTGTTTCCTACTGTATTTAAAAGCTATAAACATTAAATATACAAATATTTTAAAAGAATCAAATATATACCACACTAAAACTGATGAACAAAATCAACACCAAAAACACATTTCAAAGCAACAAGGCACAACACGGCATTTTTTTAAAAAGCCTTCTCAGACAGCCAGTCACTGAGGAAAAGCTTGGCAGAAGAGAAAGGTCTTTGTCTGCTTGCGGAAGGACAGCAAGGTTGGGGATAGGCTGGCTTCCAGTGGGAGGGAGTTCCACAGTCTGGGAGCAGCCACAGAGAAGGTCTGTGAAGGTGGGGGGACCGAGAGAAAGGCTTATCCTGAAGATCTTAACACCCGAACAGACCCATAAAGGAAATGTCTGGAAAAGTTACTTTGGCAGACTACAACTCGCAGAACCTAACCGCCTACATTCCAGATGGGTACGTGTTGATAGAGCTTAATTCTTAAAAAGAATTTATTAAAAAAAAAACAGAGAAACTTTGCCAAGCTCTGATTTCACCAAGTCAGAAAGGGGTGAGGAAGCCCATGGAGGCACATCCCCTTCCAGCATCTTACTTCCCAGCAGTAAGCAGGCCAATGGCCCTGAAGACTCACAGGAATGGCCACTGTCTCCTCCGTCTCCACGTGGCTGGATCTCTAGTGGCTTCACCCGGCTACCGCAGCTGGAGCCGAGAGGCCAAGGCAGCTAACCCTAAGCTTCATCCCTGTTGACAGATGTGCCCAAGAATGCAAGGATTATCGCCCGTTGGGCGTCTCGATCGTGCCAGCATGCTACGGCAGCTTCTTAGGGTTGCCGACAATGCCGTGCCCCATCCGAGCAGGGCAGCTCACCATCTCTTGGAATACCCCGGGGGGGGG